CGACCTTTCTGCGACTATCATAACAAGTATGGTCACCCAACCGCGATGTGTCGTAAGCTACAGGCCTATTTGCTCGCCAAATATCGAAAGGGGGAGATCGCGTTAGCAAACCAGCCTCAAAACACCGTGCCGCAAAACAACGAAGCTCGACCAACGGCTCCCACCGATCAACTTCCACCCCCTCCCCCAACGAACGAGCGATCCAACGACGATCCTGCAAAGAGAGACCGAGGTAATCAACCTCGGGACGATACTCCTCCGGCATCTCGAAAAAAGGTGTTCTTTATTATGGGAGGCCTATCGACATGCAACGACTCCGTTAGATCGATTAAAAAGTACGGACGCCAAGTCATGCTAGCCCAGAAATGACAGGTCAAAAACCCCAAAACTGCAGAAAGTGATGCGATCACATTCACCGAGGCCGACACGGAAGGAGTCGACATGCCACACAACGATCCGCTTGTGGTCGAGCTACGGATCGCAGATTGCGAAGTATCTCGGATACTGGTCGATACAGGGAGCTCAGTAGACCTGATTTTCAAAGAAACACTCGACAAAATGGAATTGGCGAACCATCACCTCAAGTCCTCGGTTAAGCCACTTACAGGATTCGACGGAGATATGGTTTACTCGATCGGGACGATCAGGCTTCCAGTTTACGCGGCAAAGACGACTCGCCTTGTCAAATTTGTCGTCGTCGACCAACCCGCCATCTATTACGTAATTTTAGGAACGCCCTAGCTGCAATCCATGAAGGCGGTGTCCTCGACCTATCATCAATGCCTCAAGTTCCCAACCACGTTCGGGGTAAAAACCATCTGAGGTTCTCAAGAGATATCGAGACTCTGCTTCGCCGCCGAGCATAAGCTTCGGTTCAAATCCACGGTCCCAGCCAAGGCATGTCTTACGATCTTACCCGTAACTCAAGATGATTTGCCAACCCAAGAAAGACCCAAGCAGGAGCTCGTCGTCCAAGTAAACATCGACGAAAGCGACCCTGAACGATGCGTAGGAATCGGAGCTGATCTAAAGGAGGAGATCAAGGTCGAGCTCGTACGACTTCTTCGCCGAAACGCATCGACATTAGCCTGGTCAGTAAGCGACATGCCTGGGATCGATCCCTCAATAACAAGTCACGAGCTCAACATCGATCCTACTTTTAAACCGATCAAGCAAAAGTGGAGAAAGTTAGGTTTCGAAAAGGCGCAGACCGTCAATGATGAAGTCGAACGTTTGTCGAAGGCCGGCTCGATCATCGAGGTCAAATATCCAGAATGGCTGGCAAACCCTGTTGTCGTCAAAAAGAAGAATGGCAAATGGCGAATCTGCGTAGACTTCACCGATCTCAATAAAGCCTGCCCCAAGGATAGTTTCCCTCTACCGCATATCAATCGAATCGTCGAGGCAACTGCAGGGAACGAGCTCTTGTCGTTCATGGACGCCTTCTCTGGAAATAATCAAATCACGATACATCCCGAGGATCGTGAGAATACGTCCTTCATCACCGATCGAGGGACTTATTGTTATAAGGTAATGCCGTTCGGCTTAAAGAAAGCGGGCGCAACGTACCAACGACTAGTCAACCACATGTTCGCCGATCAGTTGGGACGAACGATGGAGGTTTACAACGACGATATGCTAGTAATGTCACTCACCGCCGGTGATCACATCGGCCATCTGCAAGCTTGCTTCACCGTTCTAAATCAATACCAGATGAAGTTCAATCCGACTAAATGTACCTTCGGGGTAACTTCCGGGGAATTCCACGGCTACATCGTCACTAAACGAGGAATCGAGGCGAACCCGAAGCAGATCGATGCCCTAATCAATCTCCCTTCACCTCGCAACACTCGCGAGGTTCAACGTCTCAGCGCTTAACCGATTCATCTCTCGCTCGACAGATAAGTGTCTCCCGTTCTATCAGCTCCTCCGAGGCAACAAGCGTTTCGAATGGGATAGCAAGTGTGAAGAAGCTTTCCAACAACTTAAGGAATACCTCGCCAGCCCACCGATTTTAGCAAAACCCGAAACAGGCGAAACGCTCTACCTATACATCGCTGTGCCGAGCTCGGCGGCTAGCGGAGTCTTAGTCAAAGAAGATCGAGGCGAGCAGAAACCGATTTTCTACGTTAGTAAAACTCTCGACGACGCAGAAAAACGGTATCCGACTTTGGAGAAACTCGCGCTCGCGGTCATCATGTCCGCCAGAAAGCTACGACCCTACTTTCAATCCCATTCAGTCGTCGTCTTGACCAATCAACCACTTCGAACGATACTGCACAGCCCGAGCCAGTCAGGTCGCATGGCAAAGTGGGCTGTCGAGCTGACAGAGTACGATATTGAATATCGCAATAAGATAAGTGCCAAATCGCAGGTCCTCGCGGATTTTCTGGTAGAGCTTCCGCCGGAACTAATCCAGACCGACCTACCCGATGAGAAGTGGTCCTTGTACGTCGACGGATCCTCTTCATCTCGAGGCGCAGGTATTGGCATTCGACTAGAGTCTCCGACAAAAGAGATATTGGAGCAATCGTTCCGGCTCGAATTTCCAGCCTCGAATAATGAAGCAGAATACGAGGCTTTACTCGCAGGACTTCGTCTAGCCCAAGGTATCGGGGTCAAGAAAATCGAAGCTTTCTGCGACTCCCAGCTCGTCGCCAGCCAATACAGCGGCGACTACGACACCAGACACGACCGGATAGACTTGTATCTTAAAGCCGTCAAGAACCTCACTGATCGCTTCGAATTTTTCTCACTCACCAAAATTCCGAGGAGTGAGAACGCCTCGGTAGACGCACTAGCCGCCCTCACATCGACGTCCGAATCACATCAAAGGCGCGTGATCCCGGTCGAAAGCATCGATTCCCCCAGCATCGTCTTACCTCGAGGAGTATGTGCAGTTCGCGGGCTCGAAGCAAACGGGTTAGACGCCATAGAATTACCTCCCCCGAGGTAATCGATGAGCCCGCCGAACAAGAGCCAACAACCGAAGACTGGAGGATTAAAATCTTACTCTACATAACAGATGGCCAAGTCCCACCCGACCGATGGGCAGCGAGGCGTTTAAAAGTTCGAAGCGCCAAATACATTCAGTCACATGGCGACCTCTATCGTTGGACCTCAACCGGCTCCCTGCTCAACTGTTTGCATGGCGAGGAGACGCTCGATGTCATGCGAGAAACACACGAAGGCGCATGTGGAAATCACTCCAACGGTCGAGCTCTCGCTCTAAAAATCAAGAACCACGGTCATTTTTGGCCGACAATGCTTACCGATTGCGATCGATTCGTAGCTCGCTGCGAGCAGTGTCAACGACATGCGCCCATGATCCACGCACCAGCCGAGCTTCTGGCTGCTTCCTCGCCACCCTATCCCTTTATGCGATGGGCAATGGACATCGTGGGTCCACTTCCTCGATCCCGACAAAAACGATTCATGCTAATCATCACTGATTATTTTACGAAATGGGTCGAGGCCGAATCCTACGCCAAAATCAAAGCAACCGACGTGAAGAACTTCGTCTGGAAAAACATCATCTGCCGCCACGGACTACCCTACGAGATCGTCACCGATAATTGCCCCCAGTTTATCTCCGACGTATTCGAGGACTTCTGTGCAAAATGGAAAATACGACTTAGCAAGTCAACACCGCGATACCCACAAGGAAACGGACAAGCCGAGGCAACCAACAAGACTATCCTCGACGGCATCAAAAAGAGACTCGAGGATAAGAAGGGCTTATGGGCAGACGAGTTAGACGGTGTCCTATGGTCACATCGAACTACACTGCATAGATCGACGAATAAAACCCCTTTCTCGTTGTCTCACGGCATGGAAGCCTTAGCTCCCGCCGAAGTCAGTCTACCAACCATACGCAGAACGATGTTGACACAAGACGAGAAAAGGAATGGAAGAATGATGAAGGATAGCTTCGATATGCTCGAGGAGGAGCGGGACCACGCTCTGTTACGTATGCAAAATTATCAGCAGCAAATCTCATGATACTACAACAAACGCGTGAAAGGTAGGCATTTCGAAGCTGGCGACCTCGTCCTTCGAAAGGTGTTCGAAAATACCGAAGAATACCGCGCTGGAAAACTGGGCGCAAAGTGGGTAGGCCCTTACCAAATCACCAACGTTTTAAAGCCTGGGGTTTACGAGCTGATGACGATGGACGGCGAAATGATACCGCGATCGTGGAACTCGATGAACATAAAGCGGTATTACTACTAAAAAAAAAAAAAAAAAAAAAAAAAGACGCTCACCGAGCTATACTCGGTCGAGCTAGATCTCGAATGTGAACTACGATCGCCTTGATCCCAGTCTATTGGGTACGTAGGCAACCTCTCACAAGGTACAGCTATTAAGAAAATTTTGTTTACAACAACTTTTACGTCGACATCTTTACATCGACATCCTAGCTAGATGTTCGATCTTCTAATACGCATTTCCCTACAATGCAACCTCTTAGTAAATCCTAAGGAACAAAAACCTTACGATTGCAAGAAAATAAGCCGGGACCAGTCCCGCATCCTTTCTTAAATCACCCGAATAACTACGTCGAGATCATTCTCACTATTCGGACACGATTAATGAAATAAAACAGGGTAAGCCGAGTCATACCTCGCACCTATTGTTCCCTTAAGCCGAGTTCCACCACGCACTTATTGTTCCCTTAAGCCGAGTTTCATCTCGCACCTGTCGTTCTACTTCGCATCTCGTACCTCGCATCCATTGTTCTCTTAGGTCATATCTTGCGCCTACCATTCGTAGGTTTTGTTTAATTAGGTAAGATTCACCTCGTGTCAAGCATTTCATCTCGAATCTATTGTCATTTAAGATGAGGATATCCGCATTAGTCGTTTTGTTTTTCTTAAGTACACCTCATATTTATTCTCTCTTTATAATTCAAATCGCGAGCTGATACTTCGGAGAAAGAGCATTCATTAATAAAGATAGGTCGGGTCATTACAAACGAGGCAAAATAAAAAAAGTCAAAAGGGAAGAGGCAACAACAAATAAGAAAAAGGCAAGTAAGGTCTATTCTTCAGGCTCATTGCCGCCCTCGTGGTTCTCTTCGTCTTCGGCATCATCTCGATCCGTACCACCATCTGGAGTTTCAGGGTAAGGCGGAGGCAAGTCGCCTTCTTCAAGATCTGTGAAGCTGAGGTTCTCGAGCTTCTGTTCGCAATCGCGCTTTGATGATTCCAGCTCGGCTCTCAACTCAGCCTCAGACATCTCTTGCTCTTTCAAGAGATCAAGGCATTCCAATGTACCTCGAGCCTGAACCAGATCGAGCTTAACCTTCTCGATCGCCTCCTGTTGAGCAACCCAAATCCTCAGCCGATCGATGCGACCGGAATACTTCGCCTCGGCATCCGCCCAAATTCGGGTCGTCTCCGCCTCGATTTTCTCATCAGCTTGTCGCTGTGCCCGGACGACCTCAGTGGCGATCGACTTCTCGACCTGGATCTTGGCCTCATTGACGATCTGCAGGTTATTCACTAAATCGAGGTTCTCTTGCTTCATCGCCTCGATCTTGTCGGTTAGCTCTTTAACCCCTACATCGAGCTGCTCCGCCTTCCTTTTCATGGTCTGCCAATTGTCCTCGGCGACCCTTCGCTCCTCGATGGCGGCGTCACGCTCTTTCACTGCCTTTTCGCCAGCAGCCTGGGCATCCTTTAGCCGAGCGGCACCATTCCGGAGCCAGCGCATGTACTGACCCCGCGCACGGTTGCAGCTCGCGATGAACTGAGAATAAAAACAAAAAAAATATATCAGTCGAGCTCATAGATTAAAGCGTAAAGTGAAGATTCCAGACATACCTTGAAGGCGAAGCTCGCCATGTCTTTGAAAGCCCCATCGGTTCCAGGGGGGACCTCGGAAGTGGAGCCCCTTATCATCCCGAACAGCTCTACACATTTGTCAACATTGTTGACAAACGGTTCGTTCGACTCGCGGTACTCGAACGAAAAGCTCCAATCGATCTCTTTGGCCTTGTCATTACCAGGTGGATCGACCCTAGGCCGTTTACTCGCAGCCTCCGCTCCAATTTGACCGCCATCATCGCCGTCCCCGGAAGTTTTCTTCTTTTTCTCTTTCGCCTTAGCCTCGGCGACCTCCTTCTTCTCGGCGAGGCGAGCAGCCTCGGCTTCTTCCTTCTTTTGGGCACGGCGAGCAGCCTCGACTTCCTTCTTTTTCTTCTCCTCGCGCTTCCTCTTCTTTTGCTTCTTCTCCTCGTGCCTCGCCGACTGTGTGGCTTCGTCGGCTTCATCATCCGGTTGCCGAGCTTCCACTTGGTCTTCAGCACTCTGAGCTTCGACCGCGTCTTCGGCAACGAGTTGAGGATCGACCTCAATCTCTTCTTGGGCCGGCACTAGATCCGAGCGTGCAGGCCGAGAAGCAGAAGGACCCCGATCCTTACTCCCGCTCTTTTTGGCCTTTAGACGTGCAGCGAGGCTGGGCGCGTTAACCTGAATCGGAGCCATTGCAATCGCTCTTTCTCGCAAATTATTCTCCCTCCTCCAACTAGCTGAAACAAGAAATGTGTTAGGCGATGTCAATTACAGAAGAAACATCAAGAATGTCGAACTTACCGTTAGTGATGCGGTTGATGGCAGCCTCGACTCTCCGACGATGAATGTCAGGCCACCTCTGAATGCCAACGGATCTGAGCTTTTGGAGGTTCTCAAAGTAATCTTCCGGATAAGCGTCGAGGTTAACGTTTCGATCTGCAAAGAAAAATCGAGGTGTAAGTATGATATAAAAGGAAAAATTGACAGTCGATCAAACAAGCGATCTACCAATTCTCTGGCTCCATTCGTTCCTAAAATTTCTAGCCGTGTCAACGACTAACGACTCATCGACCTTGGCATAAAAGAAAGACGCGCCAGTCGACGTTAACCCCGACTTCACTCCCAAACAGGAGAGCTGCGACCATATATCGTATTCCTGCCGGAAGAATCTGCGAGAGAGCGATGCATCGCCGGTCTGCGTACTCCATCAGCAGCCTCGGCAACGGAACCCAGAGGTGACACATGCTGAACCAGGCCTCGTACAACGTGACCCAGCCGACCGGGGCTAGCCATGGACGGTCATCGGGACCTGGCGATCTGAGCTTGCAGCGAAAGCCGTAAAGCGCCCGCATTTCTTCGAGGCGCTCCGGTGTCATTCGAGATCGAATGTCCACTAATCGGTTCTTGATGTTCCCCTTTCGTCTGGAACCCTTCTTTCGAGGTTTGGTTTGCTCGCCTTCCTCCTCGTTATCTTCCTCATCGACCTCGTCTTCAGCTTGCTCAACAGCATCTCCTTCACGAGAATCTTCGTCAATTTCGACCACATGAAGATTCGAGGCCTCGCGCTGCGAGGAAGCACCATCAGAACGAAGTCGATCAGCCAATTCCACAAGTGGCGATTCTTCTCGGTCCGATCGACTTTCGGACCTCGAATGCGCCTCAGGAGAGGAGCTATTGTACACAGAAACCTCTTGGTCCGACGCGGACCCAGACTCTAAGCTCGACTCGATACGCTGACCCCCCAAAGATATTACTCGATGTCGGATAACAATAAAAACAAAATAACAAGAGGGCGAGTTCTAGAGAGAGAAAGGAATTCTAGAGAGAAGGGAGAGCAGAATTACCTTTTGTAAACGGAGAAGAAAATGAGAAGAAGAAGAGGAGAGCAGAATATATAAGGAAGAAAAAACAGCGGTTACCGAGGAAAGTAATCATGATTCGGACGCTTCCCAGCACTTTATTTAATGGTGGATTCCACGCGCTTCCCGAAAATCACGCTTTCACTCGCGACTCTTCGCTGCCCGAGATGACCGTTACTTCTCGCGACTCTTCGCTACCCAAGACGACTGTTACTTATCGCGACTCTTCGCTATCCAAGACGACCGTTAAGTATCACCTCGATTCCGAAGACCCGACATCGATATCGAGGTCCAAGGAGATGAAAGTTCTCCAGCTCGATGCGTTGAATATCGAAGTACCATCTCCATCAACGGACTGGGGGGAACAATTGTTGTAGGTGGGCTGAGCACAGCCCCCTTTTCGTAATTTCATTTAGGCCCGTTAGCGAAATGAAAGCCCAGTAAGATCGAAGACCACCAAGCCCATGCGCGAAGAGTGAAACGAGGTCGTTCGGGGAGATGACCTTTTTATATCAAAGGAGCAGCTCGCCACCTCGACACGGATGGGACAGCTCGCCACGTCGACGTAGATGAAACAGCTCGCCAGCACGACGTTCTAATAGACGGTCAGTCAGGTCTATCTGCCCGGCCGCCCAAACTACTTTGACCGAGATGTAACCTAATTTGAACACTATAAATAGCCCTGTAACTTCATTTATTACGGGATCTGTAATCTGAAATAAAGACTAAAACACTCAATACTTAAAATCTTCAACTCTTACCTCGTTTACCTGACCTCGTAATATCACCTCGAAAACATCATATCGATCTCACACCTATTCAAACAAGAATCTCCGAGCTCCACCTAGATATATTTACCTAAATAACCTCGTGTGCGGATACAATACAACACTTATGTCCAAAAATATTTGACGGCGTTTGGTATTCCTGTTGTCCAAAAATGGAGTGAAACTTGGATGAGATCTAAATGGTTAGTTTTGGACTAAGATTGAATCCGGTATGTGTAGAAGTTTGAACTATCGTACTACAAATTGTTTGTAAGAAGTGGCAGTTGACCATTGGTTCGGCAGAGTAGTTTTTCTATATAAATAGTTTTTCTATCTTCCAAGTTGGAAACAACTTTGTTTTTGCAGACGAACCATCGCCTGGAGAAGGGATGTACTTGTGCTTGTTGGAGCAAAGAAAGAGAAGGTGTTGATGTTTTGTTGTTTAAAGTAATTATGATTATGGAATATATAGGTTTTTTGATTGGAGATTAGAAAGTGATTTGATTTTAATCTTGTGTTGTCGTTGTGTTACTTTGAAAGAAAGGATTAAAATTAGTTATTGGGAATGGAAATCTGTTTCGGTTGTAGGACTCGCCAACATGTCTAGACGACCATAGAGAAGGCGTGTAAACAATGCGTCGAGGAGTCGTTTGGAAGCAAGTATACACCGACTCCGGATAAATTGTTGGAGAAGGTCCTCAGAATGAGTTGCAATATGGTGGAACAAGTTTTAAATGTTTGTTTTGTATGCAAACGGTTTCAGGCGTGCACTCGAAGCAATGTGTTTTTTTTAATCAATTGACCCCATCAGAATGGAGATGCCTTTTTGAGGGGATTTATGAATATGTAGAGTTGTTTAGGAAGATGTATGCAGCACGCAATCCAGGCACTCTGTTCATCAAAGGCATGCAAGACTACTTCATACGTCATAACAACCAAGGTATAAAACCAATAAAAGAAGCTGCGGATAAGGGGTACGAGATGGCAGTTCACACCTATAGGATGTTTATGAAGAGTGTACGCGAAGATCCGATTGGTGAGCAATATCTGGGGAAACTAACAAGAAGGTCACTAAGGTAGATAATTCGAAAAATTATCAATGCTGGCGAACAAGCATATCTGTATGCCCAACCCGAAGAATTTGTACGAATGAGGTTAGAAATAAATCGTTCATATGTCACTCTTTAGTCTTGTGAATGTGCTGTGT